TAAATCAGTCCCTTTGCTCTCTATGTGAGCTCCCACCTTGCCCCCATCCCACACACACACAAGTTCCTTGGCTCTCTGTGTTAAGCCCCAACTCGCACCCACCACACACACACACATCTTTCAGCTTTTAGTTAATAGATTTGACGTTGTCAGTAATTTGCATATCGCGTGTTAAATTGTGTCAACCCTAACACACATTACAAAGGACTGACTGAAATGCGCTGACGATATGTACTTGACAACCTTGTCAGGATTTTAAAGAAACGGAATGACCTTGATTCCATGAAGGGAAAAAAAGTTATTTAGTGCTATGTTCAAATTTAAACAAATATTTGTTCTTTGTTTTTAGAGGAAGGGGGGGGGGGGCAGTCATGATATTTGGTGCTCTAAGATGTATAATTTCACTGAACAAAAAACTAGGTCTTATTACGCAAGTTCCACTTAACCCCCTCAGATTTTTTTATTATTTTTTTTGGCCAATGGCTAAGAACAGCCTTTCCAAAAATTCTGCGACAAACAAGATAAGTGTTTTTGACTTTCAAAGCATTCTTGGAATTGCTCCAAACTAAATAAGTTTTCGTGTACTTTATGTCAGCTAGTAAAAAAAAACAATCTAAAAATCTCAAGTGGAAATTAAACGCAACCAAAACGTACCGTCACTTCCGTTTCCAAAACTGTTTTGTCACGTGTTGTCAAGATTTTGAAAATCTACAGCAACACAAAATCAACAAAATTAGCAGTTTTTAGTAAATACATTATTTACTCAGTTTATCGTCGGTTGCCTGATGAATCTGCGAGAAATAAAATAATGTGATTCTTTTTCAGAAAATCTTCTTTGAGTTACCTTACAGATAGTCTAATGATTTCAAATAGTATTGTCAATAGTGTTTGGTAGTTTTTGAGACATGATGTAATGATTAGCACTGTTACCGTGTCATCACCGTGTGTATGGTAACATGGTGGCATGGAACATGATGACATGATGGCATGTTGTGACACACACTGAGTGTATGGTAACATGGTGGCATGGAACATGATGACATGATGGCATGATGGCATGATGGCATGTTGTGATACACACGTGAGTGTATGGTAACATATGGCATGGAACATGATGACATGATGGCATGTTGTGATACACACGTGAGTGTATGGTAACATGGTGGCATGGAACATGATGACATGATGGCATGATGGCATGTTGTGATACACACGTGAGTGTATGGTAACATGGTGGAATGTTGTGATACAAACCTGTGTGCATGGTAATGTTGTGATACAAACCTGTGTGCATGGTAATGTTGTGATACAAACCTGTATGTGTGTTACCATGGTGGCATGTTGTGATACAAACCTGTATGTGTGTTACCATGGTGGCATGTTGTGATACAAACCTGGCCTTCACATCCACGACCAGCCACATATCTTTGGCTAACAGCTTCGTATCAAACTGTGGCTCTCACTAACTATAGTTTATATGATCCCATCTCTGGATTGTGACATCATATAATATACGTATCATTTTCTTGAACTAAAAAGTAAAAATATACCGTTTTCAAGATGTTGTTTTCCAGGACTCAGACGAATGTCTAAAATGTTTTGACATCTTCGCTGCATGTCGATAAGGACAAGAGTTCTCACACCTAAGCCATCAGCCTCCCTAAAATTTTTGTCACAAGATGTGGGCAGGTGAGACACTAGGGTGACGTCACTTCAGCTCGATGTTGATCTTACCGATCTCAATATCAATAAAGCATTTAATCTGTGAAATATGATTTTTTTTTCCTGTTTATAAGAACCATTAATAACATGTTCTCCACAAATTCATATAAACATTAATCAATCATTATAAGGCGAGAATATTTTAAAATGAAGAGAATGCAAATGGTCGAGTGCCAACTTCTGCTAAAAACTGTGGTTTAATCATTATTTTTTACAGCACACACTCTTCATCTTCACATGACGACTACTACACTAACAATAGCATTTGAATGTAACAAAGGTTCCCACATCATGGGTTGGAACTTTTTTTTTTTTTAGAGAACTCGCGGGGGTCCTCAAATCATCACCATGAAGAAGGTTTGCCATGGGCCTCTAGGAAGATTAAGTATTGAAAAACTGCTCCTTGATTTCGAAATGGTTGTGAACCGCTGTACACTAACCACCTTGTTTCCGTCACACTTCAACAGTACAAGCCGCGCCTCGCAAAGTCTGGACTTAACGTCAAACAATCAATTTTAATGTATTCCGTTACGAAGCCATGTGTGACAAGTACTACTTTGTATAACCTGTACAGGCGCAACTGAAGAGTGTTTTGTGGTTTTCAAGACCCGCCTGGCACAAATGTACCGTGTTTGAATGATCGATGACAATTCGCTGCTGGGCCGTTCCGCCGACAGCCGTTTCCCCGTCGTCGACGAAAAAATTATATATGTCTTTTTGAAGTTGAGAATTTCCATACATGGGTGTTTATATCAATGTTTATTTTTTTATTATTTATTTGTGTGTGTGTGTAGTGTGTTAGTTGCCCATAATTGTCCAAGTTGTGTGTGTGTGTGTGTGTTAGTTGCCCATAATTTCCCAAGTTGTGCGTGTGTGTGTGTTAGTTGCCCATAATTGCCCAAGTTGTGTGTGTAGTGTGTTAGTTGCCCATAAGTGCCCAAGTTGTGTGTAGTGTTTTAGTTGCCCATAATTGTCCAAGTTGTGTGTGTTAGTTGTCCATAATTGCCCAAGTTGTGTGGGTTAGTTGCCCATAATTGCCCAAGTTGTGTGTGTTAGTTGCCCATAATTGCCCAAGTTGTGTGTGTTAGTTGCCCATAATTGCCCAAGTTGTGTGTGTTAGTTGCCCATAATTGCCGAAATTGTGTGTTAGTTGCCCATAATTGCACAAGTTGTGTGTGTTAGTTGCCCATAATTGCCCAAGTTGTGTGTGTGTGTTAGTTGACCATAATTGCCCAAGTTGTGTGTGTGTGTTAGTTGACCATAATTGCCCAAGTTGTGTGTGTGTGTGTGTTAGTCGCCCATAATTTCCCAAGTTGTGTGTGTGTGTTAGTGGCCCATAATTGCCCAAGTTGTGTGTGTGTGTGTTAGTTGCCCATAATTGCCCAAGTTGTGTGTGTGTGTGTTAGTTGCCCATAATTTCCCAAGTTGTGTGTGTGTTAGTTGCCCATAATTTCCCACGTTGTGTGTGTGTGTGTTAGTTGCCCATAATTGCCCAAGTTGTGTGTGTGTGTGTGTGTTAGTTGCCCATAATTGCCCAAGTTGATAGATTTANTTGTGTGTGTGTGTTAGTGTGCCATAGTTGCTCATGTTGTGTGTGTGTGTGTTTGTTGCCCATAATTGCCCATGTTGTGTGTGTGTGTGTTAGTTGCCCATAATTTCCCAAGTTGTGTGTGTGTTAGTTGCCCATAATTTCCCAAGTTGTGTGTGTGTGTGTTAGTTGCCCATAATTGCCCAAGTTGTGTGTGTGTGTGTGTGTTAGTTGCCCATAATTGCCCAAGTTGATAGATTTATATGGACTAAACGTTTCCTTTCTTTAATTGATATCTTAACACTTTAAAATGGATGCTACACAAAAAGAGACCCCCCCTCCCCATGAGAGATATCCTCCAACAAAGCCCCCAGACACAGACGCTTCAGACAAAAGCCCCGAGACACAGACGCTTCAGACAAAAGCCCCGAGACACAGACGCTTCAGACAAAAGCCCCCAGACACAGACGCTTCAGACAAAAGCCCCCAGACACAGACGCTTCAGACAAAAGCCCCCAGACACAGACGCTTCAGACAAAAGCCCACAGACACAGACGCTTCAAACAAAAGCCCCCAGACACAGACGCTTCAGACAAAAGCCCCCAGACACAGACGCTTCAGACAAAAGCCCCCAGACACAGACGCTTCAGACAAAAGCCC